GGATGTCATGCTGGGTAAGGTGGAGGGTCAGAGAAAAAGAGGAAGACCCCCAACGAGATGGATCAGCCAGGTGACATCATTGATGGACTCAGGTGTGGCAGCGGTAGTGAGGTTGGCCCAGGATCGGACATTGCTTCGTTCTGCAGTGCATGGGGTCGCTATGAGTCGGTTCCGACTCGATGGCACCTGACAACAACAACAATGTGGGAAGAAATAATAAATAGCCTGGATGTTTCTTAGACGCCAGGATGGTGAGAGTTTGTCTCATACTTCAGACATGGTTTCAGGAGGAACCAGTCCCTAGATAAAGACATCATGCTTGGTAAAGTGGAGGGTCAGCAAAAGAAAAGAAGGCTCCCAACGAGATGGATTGGCACAGTGGCAGCATCAGTAGGTTCAAGCACAACAGCAGTTGTGAGGATGGCACAAAACTGGGCAGTGTTTCATTGTTGGGAGTCAGAAGTGACTTGACAACACCTCATAACAACATCAGATCGAAGAACTGTATCCGGAGCATTCTTGACCCTGAATTGTAACCTGTTACTTCCCTAATAAACCCCCTAACTGTGATTATAAAAAATAAAATAAAAAAACAAGACTGCAGGAATTCATGGACTATCAATGGAAACAATGCAGCCAGCACTGGAAGCATTCACTAGTCTAACTCAAGAAATATGGCTACCTGGAAAACGACTACCTAGCCAAGCAACTGGAAGAGATCCACATTTGTGCCTATTCCCAAAAGAGACTCAACAGAATGTGGAAATTATCGCGCAATACTGTTAATATCACACTCAAGTAAAAATTTGCTAAAGAGAATTTTAAAACGGTTGAAACAGTACATCAACAGGGATCTGCCTGAAATTCAAGTCAGATTCAGAAGAGAATGTGGAATGAGGGATACTGCTGATGGCAGATGGCTCTTGAGTGAAAGCAGAGAATACCAGAAAGGTGTTTACTTGTGCTTTATTGAGTATGCAAAGCCATTCAACTGTGTGGATCATAACAAAGTATAGATAACACTATGAAGAGTGGGAATTCCAAAACACTTAATTGTGCTCATGTGGAACCTGTACGTAAACGAAGAAGCAGCCGTTTAACAGAACAAGGGAATATTGTGTGGTTTAAAATCCAGGAAGATGTGCATCATTTCACCATACTTATTCAGTCTGTAAGAATCCTGGAGTGGCACTACAGGATAAGGACTGTACGTCAAGGTCGGTTTGAACCTCAAGGTTGATAGTTCAATCTCACCAGCCACTCCTTGGAAACCCTAGGAGTTTTCTGAGTCAGAACTGACTGAATGGCACTTAAAACAACAAGAATTCAATCTGTATGGCGAGCCAATAATCTGAGAAACTGGATTTATATGAAGAAGAATGTGGCATTAGGATTTGAGGAAGACTCACTAACAGCCTGTGATATGCAAATGACACAACCTTGCATGCTGACAGAGAAGAGAACTTAAAGTATTTACTGATGAAGCTCAAAGACCACAGCTTTCAGTATGGGTTGCATCTCAATATAAAGAAAACAAAAATTCTCCCCACTGGACCAGTAAATAGTAGCCTGATAAATGAAGAAAAGATTGAAGTTATCAAAGACTTCATTTTGCTTGCACCTACAATCCATGCTAATGGGAGCAGCAGTCAGGAAATCAAACAATGGGTTGTGTTGGATAAATCGGCTGCACAAGAACTCTTTAAAAAGCAAAGATGTCACTTTGAGGACTAATGTGCACTTGACTCAAGCCGTAGTATTTTCAGTTGCCTCATATGCATGTGAAAGTTTCACAATGAATACGGAAAATCAGAGAAGAATTAATACATTTGAGTTACGGTGTTAATGACAAGTATTAAAAATGCCACGGACCTCCATCTGTCTTGGAAGAAGTACAGCTAGCATGCTCCTGTGAAGGGAGGATGGCACGTACTTTGTGCATGTCAGGAGGGACCAGACCCTGGAAAAGGACATCGTGCTTGATAAAGTGGAGGAAGACCTTCAAGGAGATGGACTCACACAGTGGCTGCAACCATGAGCTCAAACCTAGGACAACTGGGATGAGGGATCTGGAGTGGACAGAGTTTTGTTCTGTTATACATAGGGTTGCTGTGAGTCTTTACAGACTCGATGGCACCTAATAACAGCAACTAAAACATTAAGTGGTAAAGTGCTCAAGCTGTTAACTGAAAGGTGGACAGTTCAAGCCCGCTTCTGTAAAGAGTTCAGCTTTCAAAAGCTGTCTGGCTGTACTGTTCTGTCCTACAAAGTCACTGTGAGCTGGAATTGACTCCATTGCAGTGAGTTTATTATAAGGCCTGGTAATCCTCTTTGCAAAGTCAGAGACTTGAAAAAGTTATGGACACGTCTACCTTGCATACAAGGGGTCGCTGTCAGTTGGAAATGACTCAGTGGTAACTGTTTTTGTTTTGTTTTGTTTTGTTTTGTTTTCGGGGACTCTGGTGGCACTGTGGGTTAGGTATTGGGCTACTAACTGCAAAGACAGCATTTCAAACCCACCAACTGCTTTTCAGGAGAAACATTTACAGTGTTGGAAACCCTATATAGGACCTTTAGGATTCGGAATCAACTCCATGGCAGTGGGTTATGCTTTTGTTTTTTTGGTTACTTTATGTAGCTTTTCTTTCTTTTTTTACTTTTTATTGTGATTTGGGTGAAAGTTTATGAAGCAACTTTGTTTTCCTTCCAATAAGTGACACACATTTTGATTTGTAACAGCCCTCTTCTCACATTCTCCCTGTGTTTCCTGTTTCCCATAGTCTTTCTTTCCTCCCTCGTCCCACCTTCAGAACTTTATCCCTGGCAAGATGCTCTCTAGGTAACTTTTTATGGTTGCTAATCCTCTTCTGGAATGGGGCACGTTTAAGTCTTGTTTCTTCCTCCTGTTGGCTCCCAGCTAGTCCACAGTGACTTGGACCTCCTGAAGAAGGAAATGGAAGAGGTCTGGAAAATAGTCCGGAAGCTGCTGATCGAGGGTCTTCGATTTGACCCTGATAGCGCTGCTGGTTTCAGGAAGTGAGTATATATAGCCCCTTCTGGAGAGGGGTCTGGCTCTTTCTGGGGTGGGGATGGGGGTTCTGGGACATTTCAGGGGGGGCTTTCCCAACTCAGGTGTGTGTGTGTGTGTGTGCTAGGATGGGGCCACCACAGAAAGCACAGGAACACCTAGAGGTGGGCGGCTCTAGCCTTGACTAGCAGAGGGGTTCCAAGAAGAAAACAGTGGGAATGGATGCTCAGAGGGGAAAGCAGTCATGGGGCCTGGGCTGGTCTGAGGCTACAGCCAGGACCTCGACCCCAACCTAAACAATGACCCAAGGAGAGGGACCTAATTTTTATCGGGGGTGGGGAGCACTCCTGTCCTCAGACCTCTCAGATGTCCCCAAAGGCCCTGCATAAGTGGTATCTTTCCAGTAAGTCCTATTTCAAAAATGTTTGTTGTGCGTTTGTTTGGGGCGGGGAGATGAACCACACCACTTTGGTTCCCCCATCTCTGCCCCAAGCAGGGCCTCAGAGCTGTGCTGGGTGGGGCAAGAGATCCAGGGGTGAGCCTGATACAGACAGATCTGCAGACCTCCCAGCCCCCACACGCCGCCCCACTCCCCAGTACTGTCACGCCTGGGTAGGAGGTTAGGTGCCCCAGCTGACTGAGCCGCATCTCTCCCAGGAAGCTGTTTGAGCGAGTAAAATGCATCTCCTGCGACCGCCCGGTGGAGATGATGACCGGCCCGTGAGTACCACCCACTCCGCCCGCCAGGGAGTGCAAGAGCGCTCGCGCCCAGCTGGTCCACGCCCCAGCTCCTGCCTGGCTTACCCGAATCCACACAGTGCCGTTGGGCACTGTATCCATTATTTACATACACATCTACACGCTCGCTCTATCATCCCATGTGCACCATTCCATCCGCTGGATTCAGCGATTCCCTTGGGGGGAGGGCGGGGCGGGGAAAGACACATCATCGGGATGCATTCCTTCTTCATCAATCCTCCCTGGTGCCTTCTGTGAGCAAGGACAGCATCAACTCCAGAAGAAAAGGGGTGGTCGTCCTCCTCTGGGGAAGCGCCAAGCTTGCACTTACTCTTGTCCTTTAACAGACTTTGAGAACCAGTTTACCGATGAAACTTGTTACCACCCCATATCACTTAAAGCTCATGGAGTTGCTTTGCTGATGCATCTGGAATTTTTCCTTCAAACCATAGATGTCTAGTTGTAGCATTATTACTAACAGTCAAAAATCGGAGACAGCTCCAAGTCCAAAAATATAGAAATGATGAATGTGAACTAGCACGTTCATCTCAGCCAATAGAAATCACACTGAGGAAGAATGCTATCCAACAGAACGTTCTGCAAAGATGGAAGTGTTCTGCCAAGCAGTCAGCCCAGTTAAGTAGCCGTATGTGACTACTGAGCACTTGAATTGTGGTTATTGCCACAGAGGAGCTGGGACTTAAGTTTTATTGAAATTTTAGTTAACGTCAACATAAATTTGAGTCATAAAATGTGACAAGTGACTACGGTCTTGGATAGTGTAGCTGGGAAGAATTTTTTAGTGAGTGACTGGCAAAATGTATGCAATAAATGAAAAACAGCAAGTTTCAGAACAGTACGTGTTTTGTTGTTAAGTACCATCAAGTCAGTTCCAACTCATAGTGACCCTCCATAGGGTTTCCAAGGAATGGCTGCTGAGTTTGAACCACTAACCTTGTGGTTAGCAGTCCAGTGCTTATCCTGTAGTGCCACATCAAGACTCCAATAGTATGATCCTATTTTTGTAAATGGAGTCATGGTATGATGCTGTAGGATAAGCACTAGACCATAAGGTTGGTTTGAACTGCAAGGTCAGTGGTTCAAACTCACCAGCCATTCCTTGGAAACCCTATACAGGATCACTGTGAGTCAGAACCGACTCAGTAGCACTTAACAACAACAACAACAACAATATTTTTGTAAAAAAGTACATGGTGGTGGTCTTGTGCCGTTCAATCAGTTCCAATACTGGAACAGAAACCTTTATCTTACTCCATTGCACGGCTGGTGGACTTGAACTGCTGACCTTGCAGTTAGCAGCCCAAAGGGTAACCACTATGCTACCTGAGCGCCTTAAAAAAAAATTAAAAAGGAATTACATAAACAGGGAAAAACAAAACTAGCACATATCAAAACATCTGTTGTGCAGTTACAATGATGTATTTCTTCTTTGTGCTTTTCTGTGGTTTTGGAATTTTTGGACCATCAATACTTGTGGCTTTAAAATGTTATTGCTCCTTAACATGTTCATAGCAAAAATACACACATGTTCACTGCATGGCTGCATGGATTTTACACATGTATTCACCTGTGTTACCATTGTCCAGACCAAGTTGTAGAACCATTCCAACATCCAGGAGACTCTGTTTTGTTTTTTTCAGATTAAACTTTGACATAACCTATAATTCACAATTTTAAAGTGAACAATTGCGTGGCAGCTAGTACATAACCAGCACTTCTACTTAATTCCAAAATCTCTTCATCACCTCCATACCCGTTCAGCAATCTCTCCACACACCCCTGTTCCCACAGCTCCTGGCAACGACCAATCTGCTTTTGAACTCCATGAGTTGACCTGTTCAGGTGTTTTACTTTTGTATTAATGGCCAAGGATTTCCATAACAAAATACCACCAACTGGATGACTTTATAAGGACAGAAAGGAGTCCCGGTGGTACAGTGGGTAGCGTAGTGGTTATGAGTCCGTTGTGAGCCGCGAACCGCAAGGTCAGCAGTTCGAAACTACCAGCTGTTCCGCGGGAGAAAGATGAGGCTTTCTGCTCCTGTAAAGATTTACGGCCTTGGAAACCCTATGCAGAGTCGCTATAAGTCTGAACCGACTCCACTGCACATAACAACACTAACTGTGAGATCGGTGGGTGGAACCCACCTGACACTCGTGAGAGAAAGATGAGGCTTTCTGCTTCCATTAAGATCCAGAGTCTCAGACACTATTTAGAGCAGTTCTACTCTGTCCTAAACAGTCCCTGTGAGTTGGAATGGACTAGACAGCCGTGAGGACATGTTGTTGTTATTAAGAACTGTTGAGTCGGTTCCAACTCATAGGCGACCCTCTATAGGTTTCCGAGGAGTTGGCTTGGTGAGTTTGAATCACTGACTTTGTGGTTCAAACCGACCTTTCCGTCCGGTGCTTATCCTACAGCGCCACACCAGGATTCCATTGAGGGTACAGTGAGGGTACAAGAAGAGAAATTTGTCATCTCCCAGTTTTAGTTGGAGTCCTGGTGCGGTGCTGTGAAATAAAGCCCTGAACTGCGAGATTCCTCTGAACCACAAGGTCGACAATTGTAACTCACCAGCTGCTCCTCCCTCTACAGTGCCGATATGAGTCGGAACCAACTTGACAACACTTAACAACAACAACAACAACACTTCCAGTGAGGAGTGAAAATAAGGGTGTGTGTAGATTCTCTCTGAAGGCTCTGAGGGAAACCCCGTCTCGTGCATCTCTTGTCTCTGGAAGCTTCTGGTGGGTGCTGGCGCTCCTGTGTTCCTTGGCTTGTGGAAGCCTTGCTCTAATCTCTGCCTCCATCTTTACATGGCTGGGATTCTTGGGTGTATCTTCCTGTCTCCTGTTATTGTGATGTAGGTGAAAGTTTACACAGCAAATTGGTTTTCCATTTTTCAACAGTTTGTGACACTGATTGCAATCCCCACCAGGTACTTTTGTCGCTGCCTCCCTGTGTTTATCAGTTCTCTTCTTTCTTTCCCATCCCTTCCTGTCCTGAGCTTTATCCCTAGACTAATGCTTTCTTTGATCTTGTGCGGTTGATTGATCTATGGGGTGGTACCTTCCTGGTGTTATTCCCACCCCACCTCACGCCCTATGTTACTGTTCTCAAGTGCCCTCGCTTCTGCTCCCAATTATAGCGACCCTGTATAGGATTTCTGAGGAACGGCTGGTGAATTTGAACCTCCGACTTTGCAGTTCAAACTGACCTTGAAGTCAAGTGCTTCTCCTACAGTGCCTGCCTCCCCCTGTCTATTGTTTGGCTGAAAGTTGAGCCACAAGAGTAACTAAGGGTTCTAGTCTGAAGGGCTCTCCCAGTCTCTCATCTCTTCTTTCATAACAACAACTGCCATATTGGATCAGGGTGGCCTCATGTTTGCTTAACTGATACTAGCTAAAAGCCCCTATCTCCAAACAGGACCACGTTCACAGGTATCTGAGGTTGGGACTTCAACAATTCAATCCACAACTTTTATAATCAGAAAATGTGGACGTTGCGCTCTATGGAGATTACAGTGTAATCAAAATCCCTCAGAATTAGGGCTGTGGACATTTCTGGAGAGAAGGCAATTTATGGGGAAGCTTGCCCCCAGGGTACCTGGGAAGGCTTCCTGAGGCAGGTGGGAGCTGCAGGGCGCTCTGGCCACAGGTGTCTCTCATTGAGCTGCTGGTACCTTCTTGTCCCTCACCAGACACCTTATCACCATCCGCAAAGCCCACCAGCTGTCGCGCCTGCGACCCACCAGCGCCAACAGTTATGAGTACCTGCAACGGCAACAGATGAGGTGAGCTACCGGCTGAAGGGGGGCGCTGCCTCCTGAGGTCACTGGAGCTGGGGAGCCCACTCCTACAGGGATGTCCTGCAGCAGGGCATGGCCAGCCTACTGCGGGCAAGTGTGGACATTCTAGGAGGTGACAAGGGAGGTGAGAGACGGATATGTCTATAGGGCATCCATAGGTGTTTTCAAGGATCCCTGGTAGCACAGTGGTTAAGTGCTCAGCTGCTAACCAAAAGGTCGGCAGTTTGAGTCCACCAGCCGCTCGGCAGGAGAAAGAGACATCCTGCTCCCATAAAGATGGCAGCCTCAGAAACCCAATGGGGCGGTCCTACCTGTCCTGTCAGGTCACCGTGAGTCTGAATTGATTTGACAGCAGTGGGTTTGGTGTTTAGTTTATAGGTGTTTTCAGTAGCCCCTGGGTGGTGCAGTTAGGCGCTCGACTCCTAACCAAAAGGTTGGCAGTTCAAACTCACCTAGGTACCGCAGAAGAAAGGACTGGTGATCTACTCCAAAAAGGTCACATCCGTGGACACCCTGTGGTTCTGCTGTGACACGTGTGGTGTCGCCATGAGTCCAACCCCCTGTGAGCTAGGATTTGATGTCCATGTCCGCTTGGAGGGAGAGAGTAGTGAGACTGAGCTTCTATGACCCTCTCTGTGGCCTGGCTTTGGTATTGACCCTATTTCACAGTTGAATAAACTGAAGCTCAGAGAAATTAAGGGACCTGATGTGGCGCTTCAGGATAAAGCGCTGGACTTCAAGGTCAGTCTGTGCTGCAAGGTCAGTGGTCCAAACCCACCAGTCACTCCTCAGAAATCGTATACAGCGTTACTTTGAGTCGGGAGCCGACTCGACAGCACTTAACAACAAAGCCCCAGGTCACAGCTAGCAGAACTGGCATCTAAACTTGCATGTATTCATCACCCTCAGCGGATTCCCTGGGTGTCTAGCCCCAAATCTGGATTCAGCTCCACTCCCCAGCCTCCTGACCCCCTGGGTGGAGGATAACAGAGCAGAACCAATGCCACCTGAAGGAGATGCTGCAGGTTCTGTGCCCGACACTCCCACCATCCCTGCCTGGTCCCTCTGGAGGCCGAGAACTGGCAGCTGGAACAGGGTTCTGAGGGGCCCAGTTTGTTCCTCTGCCCCACCTCTGTCCATCTTTGTTCCTGGACCACCTGAGGCTTCTGGGGGGAGGCGGCTTCCGCAGTGGTGACACAACTGTCCCGTCCAGAGAGAGGCAGCTTCTGGAGCGGCTCCAGGGCCACCCTGAGGGGAGCGTGGAGTCCCTGGGCTCCCAGCAGGAGTGGGGTGACGGCCCGACCAACAGCACCAACCTTGGGTTCAAGTCATATGGCCTGTCAACGCTCTACCCCTATGGGGACCCCCAACTGCTTCACTACGATACTGTGAGTCCAGCTGAGGCTCCGTCAGGGTGAAGTGACTTTGGGGTGGGGCGGGGGGCTCTGGGCTCTGGCACCATGGACTACAGAGGAACTTGGGCTGCCCACAGGCAGAGGTGGACATCCTGGGAGTGGATGGAATCCTGTACAAAGGCCGCATGAGCAACCAGAATGAGATGCGTCCCGCTGTCTTCGCAGACAAGGAGCTCACAGGTGAGCAGGTGTTCCTGGACACCCCGCCTGGCAGGTGGGTGAGTGGCTATGCCAGGTACAGGCTGTCCCGAGGCTCAGAACTGTCTTTTGGCCTTCTTTCTCACCCACCACTTGCCCCGTTGACATGAGAACTGGACACCTACGATCGTGGCTGCGTGTGGGCCCATTGTTAAAGCCAGCCACTGCGTCATTCTGTCTCCTTGAGTTCTTCCTGTTTTTGTCTGACCCTCAACTAAACATGATGTCCTTCTCCAAGGAATGGTCCCTTCTGAGCACATGACCCAAGTATGTGAGACCAGTATCTCAGCCTCCTGACTTCTAAGGAGCGTCTGGGCACAGTCTTTCCCACGTACCCTCAGGCCCAGCCACGTGGCTCTTCTTCAGAGCTCTAGGGCTGGGCGGTGCTGTTTCATGGTCCACGACCTCCTCTTGCCTAAGGAGCTCTTTCCCCAACATTCCTGACGAGCTCCTCTCTACTGTTCTTCACGAATAAGGCCTCTAGAGGCCTTGATGGAGGGGGCTGAGGGTTCAAAAGCTGGCAGCGAGGCTTCTGACAACACAGAAGTAGAAAGTGGGGAAGAGCAGACTCGGGGGGCAAGGCCAAGTTCAGTTTGGACATGGAGAATTCCAGGTACAAGGGGCGTCGGACAAGTACAGACAGGGTGCTCCTTAGAGGGAAAGCATCCCTGGGGCTGGAGTTTGTACCTGGGTCCACATTCCTTGTCTCGGGCATCATTGGTTCATTGAGGGGGTTTGAATTTTAGTCTCACGAGTCAGCTGGTAGGAAGCCCTCATGGCACAGTGGTGAAGCACTCAGCTGCTAACCAAAAGGTTGGTTCAAACCTGCCAGTCACTCTTTGGGAGACAGATGAGGTCTTTTAGGAAGTCTGCTTCTTGAAAGATTTACAGCCTTGGAAACCTTGAGGCTGCATCAGGAGAGCAAGAGGTTTGTGGGTGTGGGGCATAGCAATATGACAGAGAAGCAGAGGAGAGAACAGGGACCAGGGGTTACCTGGGAGGGGGGGAGCAGCACAGAATCCCCAGATGAGGATGCGGCTTGATGAGGGTCCAGGCCAGCCCACTGGAGGGCTTTGGGGCAGTGTTGAGGCTGACAGAACACCCTGCCTGAGCTTTCTGTATGGCTCCCATCGGGGTCCTGCCTTCCCTGTATCGCTACAGAATGATCGTTCTTGGAAGGTGAACTCCCTGAGCTGCCACATGCTGCTGGTCATCCCACAAGTGACTCCTGTGTCCTCCTTGGGGATGCCCCATGTGGTCAGGAAGGCCAGAATCTCTGGCCCATAGAGCGTGTGTTCTGTGGGGACCCGAAAATAAAAAGGGATCAGCAAGTTCAGGGAGGAGAAAGCAAAACGTGGGTATGGAAGAGAACGAGGTGAAAGAGGGGCCCTTTGAGGTCCCAGAACCCTCTGAGAAGTGACATTTGGAATGAGAATGTTCAGGAGCTAGATGGGAAAACAGCACTGACCGCAGGTGCCCGGTCTTTCTTCCTCCCTCTCCCACTCACCCCTAACTCTTCCTAGGCAGTGGCCTTTGGTCGGGGTGGTCAGTTATGGAGAGTCTCAGCTGGACAAGAAGGGGTGGCTTTGGGGTCAAACATGAAAGCGGGGAGGGGAGGGAGCTGTGTGGTGGTCTGGCCTCCAGTGGGGACGGGCGCCGTGGTGGTAGAAGCATCACCAGGAACAGGTTTGCGCCTCCCGAGCCTCCTGCAGGACCTTCAGGGGTTTGAGCTGCCCACAGGGTATGGGGGGGACTCTGCAAGGGACCCCCACTTCCATCTTTCTGCTTTACACCCTAAGCTGTGAAGATTCCAAGGCCCCCATCTCGAAACCTGTATGACCGTGTGCGTACCAGCTCGGTGTTTGGTACCGTCCACTCCTGTGAGTACCTGTCCCCAAGTCCCCACTTGGGACTCCTGGCCCACGTCATCTATTTCTGAGCTGCTCTGCGCCGCCCCCCCCCCCCACTGCCCCAGGGCTGCCCTTTCTTAGGGTGCAGAGGTCTCAGGGGTGGGAGGAGGAGCCTGGGACTCATGTCACCATGGTAACAGGCCTCTATAGGGCAGAGAGCAGTTTACAAGTTCTGTCTCCCCTCTTCTCTCCCCATTGGTCGTCTCCCAACCAGAAGCCCCCTGAAGCAGGGAGGTGAGGCAGAGCCAGAATTTGGAAGTGTCCCTCAGACCCCAAGTCCTTCCTGGGTACCCTGTTCTTCTCGATCCCCACTCACTCCCAGGTCATATGTTTTGGGGGTAGGGTGCCCATGGTCTAGGCAGCCAGGTCCTTACTACAGTGGCCATAAAGCCTTTCCGGTCTTGGGGCTTCATGCTCTGAGTCCTTCCAAGGGTGGGGTCTCCAGATGGAATGCTCTTGGACATATGGAGTGTCTCTTATGCCCCCCAGCCCTGTACCCCCGTACAAGCATCAGCACAGCCTCCTCGGGACCCCAAATGACAGTGCCATCCCGGCCACCGTCTCTGCCACCCCTGCCACTGCTGCCACCACTGATCCCAACACCTCGGGACTCCCAGCAGGCTCCAGGAGCCTCCAGGCACTCGAGACCCCTGCGTCTTGAGTCCAGAATCAGCACCCAGCTCAAGGAAGAGCCCTCCAGCTTGTGAGTTCCCCAGACCCCCATGGCTCCCTGGGCACCCCTGGGGACCTGACTGGCCTAGGAAAGGAGCTTGACCCCTATTTTGACCGAGTGGCTCTCCTAACCCCATTTGTAGGAGTATAAACTTCATGTGTTTCTGGACTACACTGCCCCAGAAAGCCAATCTAAGCCCTGGACCAATTTACAGTAACAGTGTTTTTTTTTTTTTTTTTTTTTCTTTTAAGTAGCCTTCCTTTTTATTTTATGGCAATTTTTCAGTTAAACTGATTCCTTAATTAACTATCATCATACTGCCTGTTTTTTGGGGGGTGTGGGTGGGGGGCTTCTGTCTACCAAGTTGTTTTCCCACGGTAAGTGTTCACTGCATGCATCCTTTAAATTTTTTATTTTTTTATCTTGAGTGGGTTAGTTCCATCAGGATGTCCTGTGAGGGACTGGACCTTTATAAATCTGTTGGATTGTACTTACTTCCTGGCTAACCCAGGATGCCACTGAGACCTCACCTCTCTGTTCCTGTTAACAGCCCAGGAACTCAGCGGCCAGCAGACTGCAAGGCAGAGCTGAGCTGGAGTGCCCCTCATCCAACTGGGCACCACATCCTTCTGGCTGTTTTCCCCTTCTCCTCCTGACTTCTGCCCCCCATCTTTTCAGCATGTGACAGTCTGTCCTGTTTCATCGTGTCTAGTTTTAGGGGCACAGTTGAGGGCTGTGAGCTGCCCATGAGTGACTTTGAAGGGGCCCCCATCTGCATCCCTTGGGCCCACCCTGGGAACACTAGGCTCTGTTGGGGATGGGTCTGCCCATCCTTAGTGGACCCCACCCTCCCCAACCCCTGGGCCTGTTCTTTTCTCTCTCCTAGAACTTCATCATCCAAATGAGGTCAGGCAAGCTTCCTGACCCAGGGACTTAACCTGTCTAAGACTCCAAGACACCTTGGAAGGCAATGGTGAGCACGGCCTTGGTCCCCCACCCCCATATCACAGATGAGTATTTTTGTACCTTCTCCTGAATAAAATCTTTTGCTTTGCCAACTATGGATGGGGTTGCCTAGCCGGCACCCCTATGTTGGGGGAAGGTCTGACTTCCCAAATAGAGGGGTGGGGATACCTGCTAAGTCCTTCTCCTGCCATGGCTCAGAGCCCCTGCCCTTCTCTAGAATGCCTCCCACCACCAGGGGTCTGACACAGGAGTGAAGACCACCAGCCCGGTCACATAGTGAGGCCCCAGCTCTGAGGGGTCCAACTTCTGCACGGAGGGAAGGTGGGGTCCCAGGGAGCCTGTCCTTACATGGCCCCTACAACCTAGGTGTCTGCAGCTGAGCAGCGAGGTGGGTGACAAAGGTCACACGTGCACTCTCTGGTTTCCTGCTGTGGGTGGGATCCAGGGGACGGCATGCTGGTCCCTATGTGTGTGTGGGAGGGGCAGCCTCCATTCCCAAGGGGTGGGACAAGGCAGGAGCTGGAAGCTGGAAGGGGGTGTGTGTGTGAGGAGGGGCCCCATGCAGCCAGGGCTCTGGAAAGCCCTGGGGAGTAAGGGAACCAGGATGGGGCCGCTAGGGTGGGAATTCCAGGGACCAGAATTCCTCCTGTCCTGGGACTTGGCAGCAGGGCTGGGCTGGGCACAGGGTGGCCCTGGGTCCTAAGACGGAGTTGGTCCTGTGGGGCTCTGCAAGAGTGGGCCTGGCCAGGTGCCGCCTGTAGAGCAGAGGGTTCCAGCTCTTGTGCTGCTGGGAGAAGGAGACTCCCAGGCCCACCTCCTGACTCATGGCTGCACATGGCAGGCTCACAGGGTGTTCTCTCCCTTCACAGACGGAGACTCACTAACCCTAAGGTACAGATACCTGGTCACAGCAGCAAGTGTTTATCCCTGCCGAGACGATGGGCACCAGGCAGTCCGAGGGAGGGCCTGCAGAGCAGGGACTCGGGCTTGTTAGGTGCCATCTCCCTTCCACTGCCCATGAGGTGTTTTAGGCTGTCATCTTGGCAGGAACCAGCTAAGGCCAGGTTGGTCTTTTTTGGAGCCACTGGGTGGCTTTGAACCACCAACCTTCCTGAGAGCAGTTGAGCACCTAACGGTTGAGACATCAGGGCTCCTTGCCCAGATACAAGCTGTGGTTCGAAAACCCAGAGACCTTTTTAAATGCAGAAAATGGAAACAATTTTGCCTCAAAAAGACTCCCATTTGGCCAACCCTGGTGGGCTGGACAAGAGTCCAAAGCATCCATTATCCTGGGTACCTTGCAGAGCCCTGCAGGATAGCTCCCAGACAGCATGACCAGCCACAGTGGGGACCAATGAGAAGCTCCCGGGGATGTACTGCGGCTCTCAGAGCACCCCCACATTCCAAAGGACCCGCAAGGAGAACAAGCCCCTCTCTTCACAGCTGTCCAGGATGCTCCCCAGCTGCTGAAGGCAGCATAGCATCGAACACACCCTGAGCCAGGAGACTCGGTGCTCACAGCCCGATGTCCCCATCCTGCCGAGCAGGGTCAGCTGCAGGGAAAGCCAGGGGTCCTTGAGTGGACGCTGCGTCTGAAGCAGGAGTTGGAAGTGCAGTTTCTGCAGTAGCAACCCCATAGCAGGCTGGAAAGTCAGGCTGCATCCCCAAGCTTCTGCCGGTGGTGATCTGAAGGGAATGTGGGTCAGATACTCCTTCTCAAAAAGCAGCTAAAAGTGGGGTTTCATTATAATGTTTAAATATTGGCATACAATCGAAAAACAGTGCAAATACTATCCAAAGTAAATACCCAGGGAAGGATTGCAGTCCGCCCCCGAGAGAAGGCAGGCCCATCCTCTGAACCATACATGCTCTTTAGAACAACCTTGGGATGCAAATGGTGTTTACAAGCTGCCGAAGCCATCAGCAAGTCAAGTGCCATAGACAGATGGGGGTGACCATGCCAAGGTTGGACTCTGAAGTAACAAGACTGGTGTCCTCTGCCACCAGCAGATCCCAGCTGGGTCTCACTGGTCTGTACTGGAACACACCAGTGGGCACGGCTGGTTCCTTTTTTGCTAGGAGCTTCCAGGCTTGCGAAGGGAGGGGACGTTCTAAGCTCCACACATTGCACTCAAATTCTTGGGGGCATGGCTCCCCCTGGGCCTGGTGCAAAGAAAGGGCAGCCCATGTCCCCAGTCACAGCGCTGGGTGTACATGTACGGCAGGGCCACAGGAAGAGCCACCCTATGCCCCAACTCCACAAGGGCCCAGACGGCCTGCCTCCTGACAACTGGTCTCATGGTTCCCCTTACCTGGGCCTTCCTTAAAAAAGATTCCTGGGTCTTGGTCCAGGAAAGGGACCCCAGGGATCTGGGTGTTTAACAAGTACCCTGTCCCCACCTGCAGGGGCGCATTTGTATTTTACAGCAGCTTTATTGAGATGTGTCACAGACCACAAAGCTGGCCCTTACAAAACATCTTAAGGGAGGGTATATTCAGAACCGTCTACCATTGTCTGCCTGGGAGCTTTTACCCACCTGGGCCTCTCTCTGAGTACCCCCCGAGGCTCTGTGAGCAGCTGTGGGAATGGGCATCTCCACACGGCACTGGGGTGGGTGTGGAGATCAGGGATACAGTTCAACACCTTACAGTGCACAGGCTGCCCCCACCACAGGGAATGCTCCAGAACAAAATGTCAACAGTGCTGCCTAGGAAACTGGGTGGAAGCGACCTCCTGGCCCCAGAGCCAGAGCTGGGCACAGTGGGATAGCCCCCTAGCAGGCCACCACTCAACTAGGCTGTCATGTGGGAAGTGTCTCAAATATGAAGTCCACCTATAGCCCCCAGGGGTCCTACTTGAAGACACCTCTGACCCAAACCTGAGATTCTGCAATTCCCTGGGTTTCCCAGGGGTGCGATGGTCAGCATGGAGTGAGGAGCACACACACCTGCTAGTCCCAGGGCATCCTGGGTAGGGTCTTGGAGGCTGCTACCCTCACCAGTTCTGGACAGTCATGTGCCTGTCTTTAGGGACAGCCAAGGCTAAAGCTCACTCCTCACAATAGATCATCTAAAACCACGTGTGCAACTCCAGAGAGCAATTCTCCTGATATGTGAAGATGACAGTGTCCAGAGAATTCTCTTCTATCCCAAAGCATGAAGCTGTAAAGACAGGGTGGCAGAGATGTCCTGCCACATGGGTGACTCGTGTGATGAGGCCACCAGAAAGGCGGGTTCAAAGCCAGTGCAGGTCTCTGGGACACCAGTATCTTCAGTCAGACTTCAGGGCTGACCCAGAAGGGGCAGTTCAACAAGGTTGGCTACTTCACAGGCTGCGTGCCCAGGTCCCACCTGAGCAGAAACAGGTGGGGTGGAGACAGCACAGGCCCAGACAAGGAACTCCAGGTGGAGTTGAGACAACACAGGTGAGGGATCAGTGCTGAGGAGGTCCCCTAGTGAGGGAGGGACAAGGCTATAGCAGGAGTCCCTCCCAAGGCCTAGGGAGGCAATAGGGAGTTGGGGTCATACTCAGACGGGCCCACAGGAGCAGTCTGAGACATACACTCAAATGCCCCCTGGGCTGCCAGCCTCTATCCTGCTTACTAGTCCCTACTGGCCAACATCATCACCCCAGGCCTGGAAACAAGTCCCTATGTGACGCTTGGGAACTCACAGAAGGCAGGGTGGGCAGGTGGAGGTGAGGCTCTGGCAACAAGTACCAGGGACCTGCTTCACAGGACAAGGCAATTCCAGTATGTCACAGTTGCAAAGGCAGTAACAGAGCAGTGTGGACTGGCAGGTCCAGGAGGTGGCCCTCGCCAGCATGGGGCACTGAGGGCAGCAGAGCCGAGGAGGTACGGGAAGACCACAGAGTCGGATAGGGGTTTGCAATTCTTTCTTCTCCTCTGATAAAAGGGGCAATGGGGCTGAGGGACCCCCGGGCTCTGGGAAGGCATGCAGGCAGCCCCAGCAAGCAGGAGCTAGGGGGTGGGTAGGGTAGTCGTGGAGGTTCCCACAATCCTCTTCTCTGCAGGGAACAGCAGTGCGGCTGATAGAGGGGTGTGGGTGAGGTGGGCCCTGGGGAAGGGGCAGCGGGCAGGGCTCACTGTAACATGCAAAGTCCATTGGCTGAAAACAGGTTGCTTTTGGAAAATCAATACACGTATAAATATATAGACACAGCCAGACGCACACACGCAGATCTCGCTCTGCAAGCCCGGAAACTCAAAGTCAGAGCTGGCTCTGTGGCACCATGGGAGGGGTGGGGTGGGGGAGTCCTGGCAGGAAGGCGGTTTGGTCTCTGAGAAGTTCATTCACCAAACGCCCTGTCGACTTTGCACCAGATCCCTGGGTGCCACCTGAGTGGCTGTGTGTGTGGGTGCAGGACGAAGACCCTGTCTGGCAAGTCTCTCCTGTCAAGGACACCAGGGACCGGCGGGATGCAGGAGGGACAAGGGGGCCTGCAGAGATGTCCGCTCCCCCACCACGGGGCCAGGCCTCCGGGAGGGGGAGGGGCCTCCCTTATCTCTCTGCTTCCATGGCAGGGTGGGCCCTGGGTTCTGCAGCAGCCTGCTGGGGGGCCAGAGGTGGCCAGTCTGAAGCCGGGGAGGGAGGACCTGGAGTCCACAAGGGCGGCTGTGGTGGCTGGTGGTGCTGTAGGCCTCCTGGGGGTGAGGCAGCCGTTGGCCAGCTGGGCGCTGCGAAGTTCCCGGCTACTGTGCTGTGCGGGAAGTGGGGAGGGGGCGATGTAGCCCCTGTGGCCATGGGGCTGCCCCCACCCCCACCATGGAAGCTCTCAGAGGCCTTGAGACGGGAGAACATGGTGAGGGCATCAGGGAAGTTGGGGGGCGTGGCGGGGGTGTTGGCAGGAGTGCACATCTGTGGGTGGGAGGGAGAGAATGAGGGAGGAGTGAGGTCTCCCAGTCTTTTGTTGTCTCCTGTTCTCCGAGGCCACCTGAGCAACTCCCTAGTTTCAGGGGAGCCCCCACAGGAAGCCCACTCCCAGGGGCTCACCCAGAGGTGGGTGAACCCAGTCTGAGGGGCTAGGAGCCGGCCTGGGTCCTGCTCTGGGTGTCCCAGCACTTGCCAGCTCCCACCCTGGTCCAGCTGGGCTCCCCCCTCCCCAAGAACCACGGTACTGTTCAGGAGCTCCGGTGCCTTACCATCTGGTGGTGGTGGTGGCTGTAGGGAATGTTGGTCTCCTGGAAAAAGGCGCTGAGAGCCGTCTGTGGGAAGAAAGGTGTACGCTCACCTCCAGGATCCATCCCAGGCCACTACCTGGAGCCAAATCCCCACTGGGCTTCGTGTGGCCTGGAATCCTGGACTGTAGTGTGGGAGGGGCTGACGGAGGTGGCGCACCAGGACCCCAGTGCCTCCAGCTCACAGTCCTTCCTCTGCATGTACCTGGGGGGGGTGGGGTCCCTAGTCATTATGTGACTCAGGCACCAAGCAGAACTAGCCTGTTCTCACAGGAAAATGGTTCACTGGTAGCCCCCAAGTCCTTCCTGTGGCCTCACTGCTCCTAAGTGGCAGCCAGACCCTGGCCTCTGACAAGGGAGACTCCAGCCCAGCTGTATTCAGTGCAGACGCCTCCCTAAACCGCAGCTTCCCGGTGGGTGATTCCCAGCCCCTCTCCTGGGCTGTCCTGGAAGGAGGGAGACTGAGCTCCAGCTCCACCCAGCTGACTCCTCCCCTGCATGGAGCTGTTTCCCCGTCTCTGTGCCACAAGGAGTGGACACTAGGTGGCGTTCACAGTCCCCTCCCTGCACACCCTCCCAAGTTCCAGCAAGGGCAGCCCAGGGCAGAAACAGTCTACGTCTAGATTTTACACTTGCTCACACGCTCGCTCACCCAGGTTTCCAGTGGAATGATCTCACGGTGGAAGAGCAGGGGAGGACCTGCAGGGCTGAGCTACTAAAGGGTTTATAAGTGGTGGCTGTCTAATCCCAGCCACACCTTGCCTGCCTGTCCCACTGCATACGCCTGCCGGGGTTGTTACTGTTAGCAACCCCAGAAGGTAGGGACTGTTGCCTGTTTGCTATTTCCAGGAGGTAGAGGCAAAAAGTGAATGGCCCAGGCCACTCAGGGGCCAGCATGAGGCAAAGGGGAGTTTGAACACAGGACTGACTCCCAACCAGCCCTGTGGACAGGATGGGGAAGGGGGTTAGCCAGTCATTCTGGGTCTACTCAGACATGGGGCCCTGTTGTTGTAGCATCGGGGGACAATCCTGGTCAGCCCCCTCAGGAGGGCCATCTCACAGGAGGAGCATCAGAGGACAGGAAAGGAACTAGCTGCTCCTGTGAAAGTGCCTGGAAAAGCTGTAAGTCCCTGGTCCAGTCCTGGATGGACGGACGAGTTGGGGCTGCCAGCCCATGGCTCTACCCATCACAGCTCCTCCTGAGCCATCCTGGCTCCCAGGGCCTGCCCCCCAGGAACTTCCTGCGGCACACACCCTACCTCATGTCTCCAAAGCGGGTATGGGAGCTCCAGGCTGGGGGCTGGTGGCAGAAGTACCTCCCTGCCTGTGACAGCTCTTCCCCAACAGGAGCCCCAATGGCCGGCATGCTGAGGGGGAGGATTTCCATTGGGAATTGTTTCCCATTCCTTGTGCCTGCCTCAGAACCCCAAGCACAGTGGGTCAACTCACTCCAGAGGGCCCTCCCCTTACCTCCTGCCCCCATTAGCACCAGAATTAGAGAAGATGACCTAGAAACACCACCTCGGGCTGGCTGAGGGGGCCTGGGGTGGGGGGAGTTAGCCATGGGAGCCCCCCACTCACTCTTAACCTAGAGGCTGGGGTTCACAGCTGACTTTCACCCTCTTTGAACCTTCCCAGTAATCTTGTTTTGCAAATGGGGCAAAACTCTTAAGGAGTCCAGGGCACCATCCCTCCTCCAACCGATCCTCAGAGTCACCACACCGGTGCCTGGGACCTAGCACCACCCACCTGTGTGACTGAGGTGCCCAGCTGTGTGGGCCAGACAGGTAGGCATCCACATGGACACCTGCTCAGCCTCCCAAGCAGGGAGGGTACATAAATGCAGACACATTTACGTATGAGTTTTGCCACAGGCAGCCGTTGATTAGGGGTGTGGTTTGTTAGAGGAGAGATTGGGGAGTAGGGTGCTTCCCGAGGGTGGCCGATGGCCTGGGGCATAGGGTAGTCAGCTGGCCATGCGATCCTTAGAGGCTTCTCACATCCCCCAGGTAGATGTGTAAACTGAGGGCAGCAGAAGGAAGGAACCTGCCCAGAAAGTCAGAGCAGCAGCCCCAGGCATCTGGGAGGGGGAGGGAAGGATGGATTCGTCAGAGCAGAGTGGGTGAATCCCAGTCTGTCCAAACCTTCAGGCACGAAATTCTATCCCAGGCCAGCCCCAAGAAGCTGGCCAAGGCTCCTGTTGCCTCCAGCAACAGCCCAAGGAAGCTGAACACCTTGCCTGGGGTGGCCCCGGCCTATATACCTTTGGGTCAGGGAAGATGGGTGGCCTCCTGACAGCTCAAGCCGTGGGTACAGACCCCCTTGGGGTGGCGATACCTATCCAGCTGGCCTGAAAGCTACCAGCCACCAGGTGCACCCCTGCACAGACACGATGCTCCTGATGGGGGAGGGCACATGGGGTCACCGGGCGCTGTATGGACACATGTCACTCCGTCCTGGGCACGGTCATAACCACAGACCTGACGGTGACACCGGTCGCCCCCTCCCCTCCTGGAGCACACAGACATGTGGCGTGGCGCGGGGCATAAACAGACACTAGTCCCTACGCACAAATCGCGCACACGGGCCCGCTCAGTGGAGGCCTGGGCGTCCTCCTTCCGGTCAGCCGCCGCCCCGCCCTCCGCCCCGCGCCCCGGCCGTTACCCAAACAAAAGGGGGTCCCCCCGAATCCTGTCGGCTCGGAGGCCTGGGAACGCGCTTTCAGGGCCCTGGTGTGTGTGGGGTCTGCCTTGCCGGCCACCCCCACGGCGCCATTTCCGGGGGAGACGGCAGCAGCGTAGACGCGTCCCCGCGGGGTCCCGGCCTGACAGCCGCTGCCGCGGATGCGCGTCGGGGTTCGGCGTCCCGGGCGCGTGCGGTGCCGTCGGGGAACCGAGGCGAACCCGAGGACGCGGCCCCGCCGGGGCGCATCCCCCCGGGCACGTGTTCACACGGCCCAGTCCCCAGCCCCGGACCGGCCGGCTCGCACCTCGAACTGCCAGTGGGCCGCCTGCAGCAGCTGCTTCGCCTGGTCCGCGGCGCAGCCCGCCGTTAGCACGAACTGGTTAATCAGGAGCTGATGCTTGAGCTCGTCCATGTTCTCGGACAAGGTGCCGCTCCGCTCGCTCCTCCGCCTCACGCGTCCACCATTAGCGAGCGGGCTCCTGCTAATACAAATATTTACTGTGCGGCTCTGACTCACCGAGCCTCGCCTCGCTCCCGGCGGCGGGCGGGGCGACGGGCATGCTGGAACTTGTAGTCCGTCTGCCTCTTCCGCCGGTGCGCGCTCCCACGCACGGGGGCTGTGGGTGAGCTCGCCCACGCCGGGGGCACGAGTGATACGGGCTCACTGTGGCTCTCAGCTCCTGGGTGCCAACTGCCGGCCACACACAGGGGTCTTTGACAAGGTCACAGGACCCTGAACATTATTGTGGCTAGCATCCATCTGTTAGGTGGGGTATCCTTGGGTGTGTGTATGGGGAAAGGACCAGGATTAATGGCCAAAATCTGCTGCACTAGGCCTCCAGCCCCCACCAGGTGCGGTGAAGTCGATCCCACGCATAATGATCAGATGGACCAGAGTAGAACTGCCCCCGTAGGGTTACCTGGCCTTTCATCTACGGGCCAAGATCTTTCTTACACAGTGCTGCTGAGTGGCTTTGAACCACCATTCTGAATTCTTCCAATAAACGAGTAAATGAATCTGTCCTTAAAGATCTCCAAAGTACTCTTGATGCCAGAGCGCATCGCCCACTCCTGGCTCTCACCCAGACGCACAGTAGGCCCACAGACTGTCTGTAACCTCAGGCTCCTCGGGGTCCCCCTTCCCACGCACAATCTTGTGTACTTTAGCAGAAATCTCGAGCTGAGGAATCAGGGCGCTAAGACCGCGCGGAATCAATCTCCGGATGGCTGCAAACTCCCAATCCCAGAATGCCTCGGTTTATTTGCATCTCTCAGCCCCGATGACGTCAGTTGAGTGAGGACGCTCCTCGACCAATGAACGGCCACGGGGTGTTAGGACCTGGCCATATAAGGTAAACAAAGCTGGTGATCCAATGAGGCGGCGGCGGGGGCGGGCACGGGGTGGACGGGGGTGCGTCACGTGGCGGGCGGGAGCCGGGCCTGGGAGCGCGGAGGTAGGGCCTTGCGGGCAGTGTTTACAGCCTGCACATGCCGCTTCCGGTTGACGTCCAGGCTTCGGGCGTGTGGCTCCTGGGCTGCGGGTACCGGCACCTGGGAGGCTGGGTGAGGCCCAGTTTATTGGGTCCTTACTCTCTGGAGCGCGGATGGTTTGCTAGAAATCACGAGAAGAAACGTACAACTGCTAGTACGGAAAATTCCCTAAGGGAGCAAGCACAGGCTAGTGTAGGGTTTTAATAGATCTGATTTTGGGGGGCTGCTGCTAAACCGTGGCCTGGAATTAGAATTGAGTTTAATGGAGGAAGCTTTCCGAAGACGAGGGCCTGGTCTGTAGTGCGCTCAAGGTTGCCTTCCTGGGCCCCCATCCAGACCAGGGGCTCTCACATTAGCTGGCTGGATGATAATGGGGGAGTAGTGGGCAGGGCCTGAAAGATCTGAGGGTTCGGGCTAGGAGACATGAACTAACTCCTGAGGCAGGGGGCTTGCTGTCTCAACCCTGACAGGACCCACATATCCCCCGAGGCAATACAGTTTCCACCCTTTTAGAATCCACTGTGGGGATCACCTAGACTTCATAGTTTCTTGGAAGCCATGTGGCTCAAGGCATGAGACTTCTTTATTAAGAATGACCCCTTATTGTTAGGAGGCATTCCACTTCACCCACTCCTACTGAATGGATTCCTATTTAGCGACCCTTTAGGGCAGAGTAAAGCTGCCCCATGGGATTCGGAATCTGTCAATTTTTACCGAAGCAGACTGCCTCATCTTTCTCCCAAGGTCCCCGTGGGAGATTATTATACTTGGGAAGTGCTCAGAGCAGAGCTTGGGGCTGAGTGTGCTATCTGGATCCCTATGGGAAGCCCAAGTCCCATTTTACAGATAAGAAAACTTGGGCTGGAGTCCAGATCTCCTTAAACTTTTCCCAGGTTTCATGGCCAGTGGAGAAAAGCGGTCACTCCGGGGCCAGCCAGGTGTATTTCTGGCAAGAGAGGGTGGGTGTCATCCTGTCCTGGCCCCTGGGGGCTTGTCCTGCTCATCTAGGCAGGAAGTACCTTCATCCCTCCCCCACCCACATCCAGGTACCACTAGGGTGCCTGCTTAAGCTTGTCCAGCCCAGAATAAGGTCTCCTGGGCAGGCAGGCTGGTGGAGTGAGGCAGCTGTGACTAGCAGGTCAAAGATCACCCTGCTGGCCCCCAGGGCTGCCCCCCTCCCCCCCAGCTTGTTTTCCCAGGGACAGTAGGGAAGGAAAAAAAAAACAAAAAAACCTTGTTTTCAACCCAGATCAACCTGGCTGGTGTGGACTTTGGCTATCTGAGTAAGCTTGGCTGGAGCTTGACATCTGGGGCCAGTCACTGGGAGGGAGAAGAGGCTTTTCCTGAAGGACCCTCATTTTACCTGAGGCCCAGGGTGGTTGACGGTATTGTAGAAGTTCACACAGCCAGTCTGTGGAGGGCTGGAAGATTGGCCTCCCCTGCCCTCCTCTCCACCTCCCTTTCTTTCATGTATCCACAGATGTTCATCAAGACCCACTTTGAGCTGGCACCAAAGTGATGTGAATGCCCAGGACCCTCCCCACACAGGAGGCTTAAGAAGTCTACACCTAAGGGATAAAGGCCAGGAGGCTCTGCCTTATGTTTCAAAGAACCCAACCCAGGCTGATGAGGGGTCTCGCGCTGTGGCCCCTGCCTCCCTCCTGACCTCTGCTCCCTCCCTTGTGCCTCCCCTCATTGTGTCATTGTGGGGTTCTAGCCACAATAGCCTTAGAGCTCTTGGACTACATTTGTCTGCTTCCTGCCTCAGAGCCTTTGCATATGCTGTTCCCGCTGATTTGAACTTGGTCTGACCTGCCTTCCTCACACTTTGCCTGGTTACTTGTATCTCAAGCCCTATCTTAAATGTTACCTCTTCAGAGAAGCCTTCCCTGCCTACCCTATCAATAATAGATCTCCCAGATTGTTTTAATTCCCACTGTGAGAACTAGCTTTTGGTGGTCTATCTTCAGAATCAAGGAAATCTTGGGTGTAGCAAGTTGGCATGACAAATGGGAACTCTGAGAAGAGGAAGAGACTAGTTTGACCTGCTAGACTCTTTTAATATAAGAATACACCCATCAAAGAAGTAGGGGAAGTTCATGGGGAGGGGATGAAACTAACTTTAGATGAGAATGCTCCCTGTAGGGGCTAGTAGGAAAGACTGTAAACTCTTAAGTATCCAGTAAAGGGGAAATGGGAGGAGGGGCTTTTTCCGAGTTAGGTTAATAAAACTCTTTGTCAAATGGCCACACGGCACGTCTGCCCCTGTTTGGGGGCTGGGCGACCGATTTTGCAAAATCGAAGAAAGAAAACCTCACTCTCACTAAAATGAGTACAGATTGGATTACTTGAGCGTTTGTCTATATAGACAACATTTCTCACACCCACAGCACGTACCCATTTTGTAATTAGACACCCCTTACTTTGCTATCAGGAGGAACCAGTCCCTAGAAAAGGGCATTATCCTTGGTAAAATGATCCGCAAAAATGAGAAAGACCCTCAGCCAGATGGATTAACACAGTGGATGCAACAATGAGTTAGACAGATATCAACGATTGTGAGGCTGGTCCAGGACCCGGTGGTGTTTCCTTCTGTTGTATATGGGGTCACTGTGAGTCAGAACCAACTTGATGGCACCTATAACATAGCATGTGTTTTGAGGCACGTTGGTTGCACAGTACTTAAGTGCTTAGCACTAGCCAAAAGGTTGGCCATTGGAACCCTACAGATGTGGATGTGGCAGCCTGCTTCCATAGGTCAGTCAGCTTCTGGAAAGATGACAGCTTTGGAAACCTTGTGGGCACTTCTACTTTGTGCTACAGGCTCTATGGGAGTCAGAATCAACTCAATGGCACTGTCTTTGGTTTGGTAATCTTGTTAGTGTCTCTTCCCCTCTAGTCTGCAATTGCTCTGTATCTGGTATCTTCCAGTTGACACTGGTCCATCATCTGTTACACAGTAGCTGCATGATAAATATTTGTTGGTTAAATAAATGAATCACCCAGAATGCTGGTTGATTGAGAGCTAAATCAGAAGAGGCCCGACTCCCAGCTGTGCTTGGATAATCACAGAAAAAGAACGTTTTGGAGGCTTGAAGATTTTGAGCCCGAGGCTCTATTAAATGGAATGTTTAATGAATCCTTGCTGAGAGCCAGCCCCGGCAAATTTACTTCAGGGTTTTTTTTCTGAAGAGGGATGCTGTGGTCGGCGGAAAGAATTGCACGGAGTCATGGGTCGTGATGAATTTAAAATCTTCTTATTACATGCTTTATTTTTCTCTCATTTCTATGCTACTCTACTCTCTCATTCTTTACTGTCCTACTCGTTCTTTACTCCCCTGCTCATCTCTTCTGCTTCTTTTCTCCCTTCCCCTGCTCCTGCTCTACATTACTCCCTCTATCCTATCCTCCCTCCATTCTTTTCTCGTCTCCTCTCCACCTCATATTCCTTCTTCTCCCTCTTCCTCTCTTCTCCTTCCTTCTATTCTTTCTTACAACCCCCTTATATACCATTACAGAAAACATTGCTTTCATAGTAATCAGTTACATCAAAATACAATCAAGTCTGGGGCACATTCTTCATGATTTACAACAGGGATGAAAAGTTACAGCAAAGTGACATTATCTCAAGGCATACGAGACATTCTGGTGCCTTGAAACCTTTTAGTTAAACATTTGTTCCTACATAAATCTATTCTTTTCTCTGAGAAGCAAGTTAACCTTTACATGTTTCTTGACCTTTGTCTGTTAAGTCTTGTTAATTTTAGTTGTTAGGTGCAATTAACTCTCCATTAACTTCTTCCATACACTATCTGTTTATAGCCTACAAAAACATCACTTATCAGGGAAACTGAGCCTATGAAAAACAACTTCTCTATTTTACTGATCATTAATTTAAGAACGGCTAAGTCAGACTTTTTATTTAGTATCTGTATATACCCATAGCCTTTATCTATAGTCTAATTGTTTTTAGGAATTCTTGTACCCACAGCCCTTATTCATGGCCTTGTTGCTTTTAGGAATTCTTTATTGCCTTAAATAAGGCTACAAGGAAGACTGTTTATAATCACTAAACCTAAGCTGGTAGTAATTCAATTGACAAATCCTGTCTCCTAATAGTCTTAAGAACATTGTTAATATAAGTATTAAAACTACCTATGATTACAAGTAGAATAAAATGTAACTAATATATGGCTTCTAACCTTTAATAAAAGGAGCTCTGGTAGCGTAGTGGTTACGAATCGGGCTGCGAACCTTAAGGTCAGCGGTTCGAAACTACCAGCCGCTCGGCGGGAGAAAGATGAGGCTTTCTACTCCTGTAAGGATTTACACCCTCGGAAACCCTGTACAGGGTCGCTATGGGTCGGAACCGACTCGACGGCACTTAACAACAACACAAAAACCTTTAATAAAAATATACTAAAGTGTAGGAGCGTCAACATCCAAAGTAAAGGGATACTAATAAAATCATGAATAAATCAGATTCAAAAGGAAAAAAATAACTAGGGGTCTGTGCATAGAATATTATCTTTGCGGCTTTGCTATCCAAAGAAAAATAATTCATTGTAGCTCTGCTAAAACAATGAATTCTTCTATGCCCAGGTTTCCTGTGTCTCATTTCTTTATTTTAATTCCTCAATTAATAAAATTCCATATTATTATTATGGCCCCCGCCAAATCCTGTGTACAGCTGTGAAATGACAGCCATGCCCAGGATCCAGAGGACCCAGCATGGGTTCCTAGTGTTACTTTTCACGGGTAGATAGGTGTTGGAGCAGCGTAGTTCTCAGTATTTCACCAAACAGATGAGTAAATTGAATGCAGTGTTGGTATATTAAATGCTTTGTTGGTGATTCAACAGAAGGAAATCTAAATTAAGGGAAGAAAAAAAATCACACAGTGGTGGCAAAAGGAGGGTCTTCAGGTCCATCTAGGGCAAGAGACATCAAATCTGGAGCATTTGAGCATTTGAATCACCGGTGGAGGGAGGAGAATGAATTGGTTCAAATACCAGCTCTACCACTTACGTGCTGTGGGGCCTTAAAGAGGGGCACTTCACCTCTTCAATAAACTGATAATGAAAAGAGACTCTACATCAGAACCCTTGTTAGGTGCTGTTCCGTCAATTCTGACCCATAATGACTCCACATGGCAGAGTAGAACCTCCCTATAGGATTTTCTAGGCCATCTTGGTGTGCTGTAGGATAAGCACTTGGACAGCTAACCACAAGGTGGTGGTTTAAACCTACCAGTCACTCCCTGGAAACTCTTTAAAGGGTTGCTATGAGTCAGAACTTATTCGAAGTTCCCTAACAACCTCAACAGCTTTTACGGGAGCACATCACCAGGTCTTTCTCTCAAGGAGCCCAGTCTTTGGTTTGAACCACCAACCCTTTGGTTAGCAAGTGCTTACCATTGTACCACCATGGCTCCTTCGTCAGAATTGACAGAATATATGCAAAGCCCTCAGCACAATACCTAGCACATAGTTATTGTTGCTGTTGGGCGCCATTGAGTCGGTACTGACCCATCGCGACCTTATGCACAGCAGAATGAAACACATCCTGATCCTGGGCCAACCTCATTACTATTGCCACACTTGAGTCCATCAATGCTGCCACTTGGCCTATCCATCTTGTTGGGGGTCTTCCTCTTTTTCTCTGACCCCTCCACCTTACCAAACATGATATCCTTCTCCAGTGACTGGTCCCTCCTGACAGTATGTCCGAAGCATGAGAGACGAAGTTTGGCCATCCTGGCCTCCAAGGAGCACTCTGGCTGCACTTCTTCCAAAACGGATCTATTGGTTCTTTCGGCAGCCCATGGCACTTTCAATATTCTCCTCCAACACAATAACTCAAACAGATCAATTCTTCTACGATCTTCCTTATTCACTGTCCAGCTTTTGCATGCATATGAGGTTATTGAAAATACCATGGCTTGGGTCAGGCACACCTTAGTCCTCAAGCTGACATCTTTGCTCTTCAACACTTTAAAAAGGTCTTGTGCAGCAGATTTGCCTAATGCAATACGCCATTTGATTTCCTGACTGCTGCTTCTGTGAGTGTTGATAATTGATCCAAGAAGAATAAAGTCCTTGACAACTTCAATCTTTTGTAGTAGGTGCTCAGTAAATGGAAAGTTTGGTTGTTTGAGTGGACAGTTGAATCAGGTTCCCTGGGGTCTGGAGTCTCCCTCTTCTTTATACAAGTCTCCCAACTCCTTTATTCTTCCTGTGACTTTCCAGGTCCTCTGGAGTACAGGAAGTCTGTGTCCTGGCCCCAGGCCCCAGAAAGTTACCTGGCTCATTTTACTGACAGCAGTTCAAAACTATCAGCTGCTCCACGGGAGAAAGATGAGGCTTTCTGCTCCCGTAAAGATTTACAGCCTCGGAAACCCTGTATACAGGGTCACTATGAGTCGGAACCGACTCCACGGCACATAACAACAACAACATGAATTCAAGGAACCCTGGTGGTACAGTCTTTAGTATGCTCCATTCTTAACCAAAAGGTGGTTCAAAACCACCAGCTATTGGGGCGATGTGGCAATCTGCTTCTGTAAAGATGATAACCTGGGCAACCCAGTGGGGCACTTCTGCCCTGTGGAGTCACTGTTAAGTTAGAATCAACTTGCTATCACTAGGTTGGGTTGGGTTTGCTTGCGTTTAGTGATGAATTCTCTACCTGTCCTCCCTAGCTACTTTCTTGGTAGAGCATGGTTGAATACCAATAGACCTTGGTGTGTATAAGTTTTTTCTCTTCCAACCTCAGTTCATTAACTATAAAATAGACCCCAGCATAACCTGTGTATAGTGTTGTGTGTGTTAAAACCAGGAAAGTGCCTTGTAAACTTCAGTTTATATCCTGACCCTAATTCTTGCAAATCTGCCTGCAGCCCCTGACATGAAGCTCTTCTCCCTCCTTTTTGCTTCAGTTTTCCTATCTGTAAAAAGGGAGCGGTCTCCTGCCTTCCATGGTGGTGGTTATGTGCCGTGGAGTCGGTTCCCACTCATGGTGACCCTGCACAAGGTTTCTGAGGCTGTAAATCTTTATGGGAGCAGAAAGCCTCATCTTTCTTCCATAGAACATCTGGTAGTTTCGAACCGCTGACCTTAAGATTAACAGCCCAATTCGTAACCACTACGCTACCAGAGCTCCTTGACAACAACGTTGTTGTTAAGTGCTGTCGAGTCGGTTCGGACCCATAGCGACCCTGTATAGGGTTTCCGAGGAGCAAACCTCGGAACTTGTACTGCTGAACTTGTAGTTCAAATGGCTTTGCAGTCTGGCGCATTAACCCACAGCGCCACACCAGGACTCCGACAACAACAGTTATTGTTGTTAAATGCCGTAGAGTCGGTTCCGATCCATAGCGAACAACAATACGGGCTGTAAAATTATTTCTTCAAGGTGTGGCACTGTGTGTTCATGTCAAAGTCGTTTTGAACTGCAAGGTCGGCGGTTCAAGCTCACCAGTCGCTCCAAGAAGCCGTGTACAGGGTCGCTCGCTATGGGTTGGAATCGATTGGACGGCACCTAACAACAACAATTGTTCAGGACGCAGGACTGGAGAGATGCCTAAATTCTGACTGTGGCCAAGGCAGGCGCTTCACTTCTTGTGGGAGCTCCTGCCAAGTAAGCTGTTTCTGGGAGGCAGGTAAAGGTGTGCTCTCTGCTGGCCTTGGCAGGAGATAGCCTCCTGGGAAGTGGGGAAAACCATGGTCGTTCAAGGAGATATTTCAGAGTAGTAAATGGAAAACGTTAGGTTCCTAGATATGTCTCTCACTGAACAGATGAAGCTGACACTAAAGAGTTAAGATGTTAGTGCTGTGCTTGGAATGCAGAGGGAAGGACAAATTGCGGAGAGGTTGAGGGTGCTCCCCCTGTGGATTCTTGTCCATTTGGTTTACTCTGCATGGCTTGTCAACAACTTTTCAGACTTGGACGAGATGTCTTTCGGGAAATGTAGTCCACAGACGGGCCCCCTGCGCCGCGACCCCGTGCCCTCAGCGGCATCAGGACTCCATTTCCCAAGATGCTCCGAGCTCGGGAGGCGGAGGATGCCGTGGCGTCGGGACCGTGGCCGAGCCGGGGGTGGGGGCTTGGAGGCCGAGGCAGTTGTGGGCGAGAGTCCGTGAGGCCTGTTCTGGGCCATGTTCGCGTGAGGACCCGCCGCCGCCGCCGCCCCCGTCCCGGCTCCGGCCGCGCGCGCATCATGGGCTCTATTCTAAGCCGCCGCATCGCGGGTGTGGAGGACATCGACATCCAGGCCAACTCGGCCTATCGCTACCCCCCGAAGTCCGGTGAGCACGGTGGGACGCGGGCCTGCCCGAGCGGGTAGAGAGCGCAGGGGGACTCTGCCCGGCGCCCGGAACACCCCCCTACCCGGAAGCACCTACTCTCGCGTCGCTTTTTGGTCCGCGCCCCCAGGCATGCGTGGGTTTCGGGCTCGGGACCCCACTGAGCTGCCCCGCCGTCGTGGGCCCTGGCCCGAGGTCACCTGCGCGGCCACTTCCTGATCGGTGACCTTGGCTCCGTTCCGTCACCTCCCTCACCTGCGTAGGGGCAGCTGCGCGGTCCACACCGCCGGGGCCGCACGCTGCCTGGCACTTCGTGTGGGCATATCAAGTGACAATTGTCAGTAGGGCTGACATCACCACCACTACCATCGGCGTCCGCTCTTTGTGGCTGGTGTGAGGACGGGGCCAGTGTCTGGACGCTTTCCATGCCAACTGGGCAAGGCCGAATTCGCCTGCTATCTCTTTGGGTGGAATGGGCTGAAGGAGGTGGTGTGAAAACGAGGAGGGGGCTAGGAATTCCTGCAGAGAGGAGACCTTCAGCTAAGCCAGGGAACTGGATCATGGTTGCAGGGGGCTTTTCCGGCTTCTCTGGTCTCAGACCTAAAGTCATAAGGAAGGAGGGAGTGCCTTCCCAAGGTGTCAGCTGGGTAGCTTCTCACCTGGGACCAGGTGCCCAATTCCCAGACTCAGGTGAACCGTGTTCTGCTACCTCTTTGGATGAATGTGGGCTCTTCACTTTTGGCTGTTCGTGGTGGAGAGAGGATTTGGACCTAGTTGGGAACATTTCGATTGGGTGCTTCAGATCCTGGCTCCTGAGGGGTGTGAGCTGATGATGATGTCAGGGTGTCTTGGGCCTCTCAGTTAGCATCAGCGGCTACCAGGGTGTCTCTGCTTGTGGTTCAGGACCACCTTTGTCCACCTGGTGGGGAATTGCATTAGATATGTATTTTCTTAGACCCATTGGGATCTGGGGGTCTTGTGTGAGTTGCTGTCAAATCTGCCCAACTCATGGGACCCCATGTATGTAGGCCAGAACTACTCCAGAGGGATTTAGTGCTCAGCTGCTAACCAAAAGGTGGATGGTTCGAACCCACCAGCTGCTTGTGGGAGAACGATGAGGCAGTCTGCTTCTGTCAAGAGGATAGCCTTGGAAACCTTTTGGGGCAGTTCTGTTTGCTTCTAGGGTCACTTTGGCTTGGTGTGGCCATATGGGATATGCACTGGGTCACAAGGTCAGTTTGAACTGAAAGGTTGCTGCTTCAAATCTACCCGGTGTTCTTCAGAAACCCTCACAGGGTCGCTGTGAGTTGGAACTGACTCGATGGTGCTTAACAACAAGGGTCACTATGAGTTGAAACAGTCTAGATCGCGGTGGACTTGGTTTTTATTGAAATCTTTATGGAAGCAGTTCACCTGGCCTTAACTTTCAAAGAGCTGCTTGTGGGTTGGAACTGCCAACCTTTGGGTTAGCAGTTGATCACAAACCACTTGATTCACCTAGGCTCCTTTGCATGTTAAACGTACTTTATTTCCCCAGGTTTGTCTCATCTCCACTCAGGTTGGAGAGTAGCTCTGTCCAGATTTTAGAAGGAGAATGGGAAGTTACTGGGGCTAAGAGATGTGGGAGCACAACAGTCAGTTGGCTAAAAGGCACCCAGACCTACCAGACCAGAGGCTGTCATGCCTGCTTGTGTGCCAGGTTCAGTGGCAGGGCAGTCGGCCTGGTGTAGGCCATGGGGGGACTTTTGTGAACTGAGATTGGGAAATATCATCCTCTTCTCTCTCATGTTCATCCAACCTGTCTTTGGCTGAGTGACGTTAGGCAAGTTAGTTAACCCCTGGGCTACAGTTTTCTCATCTATAAAATGGGCTGATACGTTTAGTTGATATGTTTACCAGGTGCATAGAACCTACCTGATATGTAATTAGTGCTCCCCAAACGTTAGCTACTGTAATTGTTGAAACAGAAAAGTACAAGGTGATCAGCTTTGACCTGAGAGCAGTTGGCATTGGCTGACACAATCAGAAAAGTATAAGTTGAATGTGACTCCTTTTGTCTCCTGGGGCCAGAGTAAATGTAATGTCCCATACTTAGGAACTTGGATAGAACAATGCATACATGGCATTTTACAGTACCACTTTCAGATCTGCTTATGGTAGACGTGGTTAATCAACCATGGTACTCTTTCCTGCCAAGCCTGGACTTGGTTTCAGACTTCATTTAGTCAGTACTAAGTGACTGAAGCTGTTTGGCACCAGAGGCAAAACCCACTGGCCACCTTTGGTGAAACTGCCTGCTATAGTAATTCTCTTCTAGGCCTGTCCAGTCCAAAGACTGCCCTCTCTGGTGAATGTTATTTCTCAATCTACTTCCTCATTCTTTTTTTTAAAGTTTTTATTGTGAATTGAGTGAAAGTGTACAGGGCAGATCATCAGTTTTACATTCAACAAATCATACACCTTGTTTCATTACAATGATTATAATCCGCTCCATGTACCATCAGTTAACAGTATTTCTCTCTATTCATTTTAGCTCTTTTTTTTTTTTTTTTGACAGTCAGACATATATAATAATTTACACCTCTAAAGGGCACATTCTGCAAGTCGGCCTCCTGGCTGCCAGCTCTTAGTCCCTCTCTTCCCATGAGTCTAGAGTCCTCAGCTGCTCCCTCTGCATGTTCCCGTCTCTGCCTCCATCTCTGATGTCGCTGCTTCTCTGGATAAGGTCTCACATTCTGTTTGTGCTCTTCTTCCTTGATGGTCCTAGGGTCTTCTGTTTCTGGACTGTAAGATTAACTACTCCCCCGATTTTGTTACAGAATTTCTACCTTTACAATTGTGACAGTCACAGTTAGTCAAGATAACAATTAACTCACTCTTGAATCATAAGAATCTTATCCCCATCTCTTTTTACTAGACTCATCTAGACAAGGTGACAGCTATTCAGTGGGGACTCTTTCCGCCCCCCCCCAAACTAAACTCCCTCTTGAAAACTTGTAAGCCAGTCACTTTGTGCCTTTATCACCCCCTCATTTTAGGTAGCCAATGTCTAAGTTGCCTGTCCTTATCTACCTTGTAGACAGAGGGAATAGCTTTGATACTAGATGTGAAGACCCCCTCCCTCTCTGTTGGTATTTACAACTACTACCTCCATGAGTATATGGCAAGTTCATCAAATTGTAGCAATTTATCCTCCTTTTATCAAAAATTTTTTTTTTTTTTTTTTGGTATTTGTTTTTTTAATCTTTCCTTAGTCAAATTCTGGAGACCTGGTGTGGTGCTGTGGGTTAATGCGCCAGACTGCAAAACCGTTTGAACTGCAAGGTCACCGGTTCAAGCTCACCAGCTGCTCCTTGGAAACCCTATACAGGGTCGCTGTGGGTGGGAACCGACGCGATGGCACTTAACAACATCAACAACAAGTCGAGAGTTGTGATTATCAAGCTATTGAGGCTAGGTCAAATGGGTACTGTCTATTTCCTCATTCTTTGTGCCACCTTTCAGAGTCTCTGCCTGTCATAGTCCTAGCTCTAGCTCCTGGTCCCTAGCTTGCCTGGACACCTGAGATTCCGGGTCTCCCTAACATCCCCAGGAGTGTACCATCAGCTCAGGAAGGGACAGTGAGAGGCAGATGGAATCTTTAAAGCCCCCAAACCAAGCCCTTGAGTCTATTCTGACTCACTGTGAGCCTATAGGACAGAGTAGACAGAGCCATAGTGTTTCTAAAACAGTGTGTCTTTACAGAAACAGGCAGCTAGGGTTTCTCCTCGGATCAGTAGGTGGACGTGAACGGCCAACTTTTTGGTTAGCAACCAAGCGCTTTAACCACGGTACCACCAAAGCTCTGAAGGGACCCTAGCATTCAGTATACAGCGTGTTTTCCCAGCTGGAGACTGTGGAGTATGTGAGAAAAATTAGAGGATTGTTTTCTTAAGGAGTTGTAAGAGTTCCTTCTGTATTCTAGATACAATTATTTTATCAGCTGTGTGATTTACAAATACATTCTCCTGGTCTCTGATTTATCCTTTCACCTCTTTAATGGCCTGGTGTGTTACTCATTAGGCTGCTAATTGCAAGGTCAATAGTGTGAGTCCACCAACCGCTCTGTGGGAGAACTTGAGGCAGTTGCTTCTGTACATATTTACAACCTCAAAAGCCGAAAGCCCTATATAGGGTCGCTGTGCGTCGGAACAGACTCAGCGCCACACCCCACCAACTGTTGGTGTCTTTTAAAGAAAAAGAGTTTAACTTTGATGACGTTGGGTTCGTTATCTCACATCTTTGCCTTGTACGAGGTCACGTCACACAGACCCATCTCCTTTGTCTGTTTTCTAGACATCGTACAGGTTTAGCTCTTACAGTTAGTTTTATGAGCCATTGTAGGCCTGTGTGTATGCACATGTGTGCGTGGTTTCCCGTCAGTCTTTTGCTCCTGGATATCCAGTTATTCCTGTGTCATTGGTTGAAGAGATTTTCCTTTTGCTTTTGTGCCTCGCTCAAAACCCAGTTGGTGGTAAGCGCGAGGATTTCTATCTGGATCTTGGTTTCTATCCCAATGTCTGTGCCAGTGGTTCTCAACTGAGGCTGATTTTTTTGGTAACTTATTATATTTTTTTCATACAAAAAGGAACATTCTTTAATGACTATTAGAGGTGAGGAGGAAGGGACAGTAAGTAGTTCACTGGTTAGAGGGTTGTTGTTAAGTACCGTGGAGTCGGTTCAGACTCATAGTGACTCTGTACGGGGTTCCCTAGGCTGTAAGTCTTTACAGGAGCAGAAAGCCTCAGCTTTCTCCCGTGGAACGGCTGGTTTCGAACTGCCGACCATGAGGTTAGCAGTCTGATTCGTAATCACTACGCTACCAGAGCTCGTGTAGACACGTATTAACTTGAGTGATAGGGAAGGCAATATATAACAACAATAGTAAAATATGTTCATTTGGAATGGAAAATAAATGTTTACAAAGCTGTAACAGTATGAATGAATGAAGGTTTACAGAACAG